GAGCAGGCTGGACGCCTTCTACCCTTAAATAGAAGATATCAATATATTTAAGCAATGTCCTGGATAAGAAATCTCTTCATTTATTTATTTACTTATTTATTCTCACCATTTGTAGCCTGCCCATAAAGCTTTCAGTTCATAGACAGGCTGGATTCAGATATATATGTGACTGTAACCAGGTCTGTAGTTGTGCCTTCAGCGTCATGCCCTGACAGGTTGTTTTGTCAAGTGGTTAGACTACCACAATATCTTTCAGTCAGAGTTCCCTTAAAGGCAAGAATAGACATTAAGTGCTTTCTTGAGACCTAAATAAGCTTATCAGAAACCTTATTCATCAAGGGAGTACATATTAATGTACTCATTACTCAGGAAACACAGAAATCCTATCTATGTTATGCATTTTTGTTACTGACAGATGATGATAAAAGAATTCGGGTTCATTCAGTGTTGAGGATACCAAGAATTTGTCACATCTGTTTAAAGGATTAAATTTTAGCACAACATCAAATACAGTTGTTTCACTGTGGCCAGGTAATTTGGCTCCATAAGCCACCTTAAAATTATTAAGTTCTCCCCTTCATCTTATGCCACTTCACTCTCCATACTCCATCTGTCCTGAACGACAATCCACCCACTGAATGTGGCAAATCCAAGATCTTCTTTCCTATTCATGCTGAAATTCCTATTTAGTCTTTCAATGCACTAGATTTAAGCCTACTGTAATAACCACATACATCAAATAATAAGTTATTTTTCTACATTTCAGTACTTGTTATAAATATTTTATTTCTACTTCTCCAACCTAATTTGCAATTCACATATATTTCTTCATAATTCTGTCATATTTCCTTTTTATAGCCATAAGCCATATTTCTATTTTATTATTTCCTTTTAACTACCCTGGAAGACCTTACTATATTTCAATTACCTGCAGACTCTCAGTCCTGCAGTATAATCTTAAAATCAAAACTGAACTATTGATGCCCTCCTCTGCATATTAATTCTGATTATTATTAGAATATTATCAGAATATAAGTATGCTGGAACCTTCTGAAACTTCCTTGACACATCAAGGCTCTCATCTTTCATCTAGTGAAGTCAATGCCTGATCAAAAGCCAGACTGAACCCACCGTAAGCATATACTTCAGTGTAATGAAAAAGATACTTGCAGCCCTTCACTTATTTTTTTCCTGACACTGTTTTGGTGTCAAAGTAGATTTGACCTATATACATCCTTCTATTAATCTGAGAAAGTTACCAAAGTATATACTCTACTATCCTTTTCTGACTTCCAATTTTCTACACGATTGTGCTATTTGACAATGAAGAAGTGACTTAGGAAGTCATAATGACCTGCAAACTTTTTATGCCTCTTTTGTTTCTCCTAATACTGCTAGCAACAATGTGCAAACCTTTGTACAACTGCAATTCCCCCAGTGAGAACTATTTTTATGTTTGAAATATGGGAAAAAAGTGATCTTCAACCAATTAGATCAGGTCATACAAGACAGACGTGGAACTTCATGTATCTGAAAATTTTTTTGTTTCCAAAAATTATGAAGCAGTTGAACTTTACAGAACAAAAATCTTGGTAAAACTATAATTGACAAGTTTCTAAGTAGCTCCTTATTTATTTTTAGAGAAAAAGAATTACTGTTGACATGTTAATTATCATAATAAAAGAATTCTGTTCTATCCAGAAAGGACTTCATGTCCTGTGGTAAAACAGACTATACCACCCAGATATGCAGCAGTAAGAAAGAAAATAATCCAGAAATTAAGAAAGCAGTAGGAAACAAGATTAATTCAATTTCCTTAAAGGTAACTAATATTTTCCAAACAATTTAGACTGAGTTATTTAGAAAAAATTATACAGCTAATTTGCTACATCTAGAAAACATAATTGGATTTGACTGCAGAACAACAATGGCTTCTGACTGATGATCTATCTCATTTAATTTGCAAATCTATTTTTGCTTTGCCTTTTTTAAGCATGATTAATAAACATAAAAAGCTGCATATGCAAGTATAATTTATATAGAAGCTATGTAAATCTGGAACAAAATAAATTATACTATAGTTTTTATGGGTCTTGGAAGAAGAGTCAGAGATAAAATCCTGTTTAAATAAAGAATGTTATAGAAAAGTGAAGGAATGATATAGATCAAAAGAACGTGAAGGAGGTAACATGAGAGTTAAACTACTGTCTCTTCTACAAAATCACAGAGAGAGCAATACCCTTTTGAAAAAGCAAAATGCTTGTAAAATTTCGGCAGAAAGGTTTAAGTTGAAGGGGAAAAAAGAGAATTTATGATAATGTGCATTTAGCCTCAGCTAAGAAAGCCACCTCAGAAGACAAAGGAGAAAAAACCTCGTTTACATTGTCAAAAAGGGTAGGTGTAGTTTGACTAAAACTAGGTGAGTTCCAGGTTCCTTCACCCTTTTTATACAGCTGCTAACTACGAGTTTGCTTTAAGAAAAAAAGAAAAAAACCAAACTATACTAACAGAGCCATCCAGTGAAGGTTTTTATACAACTTTATTTCACAGCATTGTCTCAGAAAAATGAACGCTGACCTAAGGGATTCTCAATCTTTCTCGAAAATGCTCTGGCAGGATAAAGTTGCCTCATGATATGTGCTTGTACCCTCATGAACAAGGCTGACCAGCACAGTTCTGTTACCAGAGTATCTTACAGAGATCATATTCCAGTTAAAAGAAAAATGAAATAAAAGTAAAGAGAAGAAAATATTGAATTAAGATTTAAATAAGAGAAGTAAAAATCAAACAGATACTCTTGTTCTGTAGCTGCAGTGGGACAAAAGAAGACTCTCTGATGCTATAAATGCATATAAATGCATATAAATGTCCATTGGAACAGCAGGGTGAATATAAAATATGGAGAAAGGTTTCATCACATGCAGATAGGAACCCATAAGCCCACCAGAAAATGAGCTTCTTGTTACTACTTGATTCCCCAGTTCTTTAACAATATGTTCACTTCATCCAGCCTTCCTCTTTCCTCCCTCCAAATCTCTATGATACATGTTAAACTTGGTGGCAGGAGGCATCTCTGTGCAAAAGGACAATGGACAGCTGCAATTCTAACAGCCCTCTCCAACAACACAAAATTTGAATACTTTTTCTTCTTTCCTTGAAATTAGAAAAGAGAAAATTTCCTTTCATTAGAAAATAGCTAATGTAGTTAAAAGAAAAAGCAAAACTAGCAATGTAAGGAAGAGTAAGAAGCTCAAAGTAAACCAGCCAATTACCTAATTTTAAAGTGAGATATTCTTAATATACAAATATACAACTGCAATTTCTCTAAACCAAAAAGTACTACTTCTGATTCTATATTTTTATTATCTGGGAAATAAATTGATATCTGGATTACTACCCTGTTTCTACTATACCTTTCTTCTTAGAATAGGCTGCCTATATAAAAATTTACATATAAAAATGTTACAAAAAATAATCAGTGAGAAACTTGAAAGATTAAGTTTTTATGAATAAAGAATTTCTTAGATTGGCTTATGATAGATTGCTTTTAAAAGCTGAGCATTAATAAACATTCTTCTGAATGGAGGAAAAATCATATACAAAAAATCCCACACTGCTATGGTAGTTTACAAATGCCCATGGGCATACTTTGAAATTTAATTACTAAAATACATCATTTATTGGAAACATTCACAGTGAAGTGTTTCCAAAGAGACACTATTGATTTCTACAGAAGAAAACAAAATAATTTCATTGTAGTACCACCCTTAAATAAATACATATGAGAACTTTATCTCCAAATAAGCACATCTTATTTTCCCTTTTTTATATTCAAGTTTGTTGGGTTTTTTTATTTCCTCTTCCATAATTCCTTTCCTATATTCACCCCAAGGCACTGTGATAATAAAAAACACAAGCTTGAGAAAAATAAACTAAAGAAAAAATTCTGGTTGATGTTTGACATTATGATTTCCTGCCAGGTTTCATCAGTCATATCATGCCATGTGGAGTAATACAGTCTGATTGATGCTGCTCACAGGGACTCATCACCTTTCATGTGTTTGCTGAAGAATTTAAAGGTATCACACAATCTTTGGAAAAAGTTAATTCTTATGGTGCCAAATGTCTGATCAAAAAATAATGATCATGGCAGGGAATCTAATTCTTTGTGCCATTTGTAAGATGTTTTATTTTTTAACTTATGATAGATGCTTTGACATCTCCTGTGTCAACTGTACATTTAATATTAGTTTTCTCAGCCTATAGTATTATGACCAAGTTTGAGCCTTAGCAGGATTCAGCATGATTCTCTTTTTCTGTGTTCAGATTGCTGAACACCTCACTGCCCATGGAAGGCAGTGAATTAATTCCTCGTTTTGCTTTGCTTGTGTGTGTGACCTTTGCTTTACTTAATGAACTGTCTTTATCTCCACCCATGAGTTTGCTTTTTGTTTTATTTTCACTCTTCAAATTCTCTTCCCCAGCCACACTGGTGGAGTGAGTGAGTGGTTGTGTAAAAATTAGGTGCTGGCTGTGGTGAAACTATAACAGCAACCTTTATTTCATTATAAAGTAATATAGCCAAGTCAAGGCAGGGTTTTTCAGCTGTGCCTCATGAAATCTTAATTCATATGGAAGTTAAGACTTTATACTTTGTGTACAGAAAAACAAAGGTCACCATATATATTTTTTATCATTTAAGGAGCATTATCTAAACAAATGGCACACACCCCACAAAACAATGCTTAATGGTAACATATAAAAGCCAAAACACAGTGGTAAGTGTGATTTGTACCACAGTACAAATCCTGCAGAGTTTAAATTCAAATCTTCTTTAAGGGGAATTAAGAATTTAGATTATGCGGTATCTCTGGGTTGGTCAAACAATCACTGATAATGAGAAGATGTTTTCATCTACAGTGGATTAGATTTTTTTTAATTACTACTAAAAGTATTAAAAAATATATGCTTACATCCAATTAGAATCTTTATTACCATACCTGTTACTTTCAGTCTGTCGGCTCCAATGACAATCTCATCTTCATCTGCAGAAAACAATACTTTTCCACTGTCACTTGCTCTCACTTCAAATCTCTTACACTGAGCTTCCACAGCATCAGCTCCTGAAATCAAGGAAGTGATAATTACACCTGAGATATATTGTAAGAATTAATCATCAGCATAAATGGAATATCCAAAACACATTGAATACATGATGCTTTACTAAAATATTTGGCTTTCTGTAAGCCTGATAGATAATTTTCATTATAAAATACTGTTAAAATAGTTTACAGAAATAACTATCAAAATAATCTATTTCAGCATTATGTGGAAATCAACACTATAATTTAGAATGTACTTAAACACGGAGATCTTGAAATGCCAATTCAAACAGAGCTTTCTGGGGTTTGTTCAGTTTAAATTGCAGTTTCTTGCCAATGAAAAAAATAAAAATAACACACGACCTTATTCCATCAAGACATACAAATCAACACAGCAGAAAAGGGTATTTTTCATTGAGTTCTACTGCAAACTTAGACAATGGAACAACATAAAAACCACAAGACATCAAAACAAACAACACGAACAAATATATCACAATTTATGTCATATTTTATGGAACAATATTCCCAAATGTCTCAAAGCTCAATAATCCTAAAATAATTCTGAAATTGGACAGATATATGGAATTGATTTAAATGCAATGAAGAATGTATGCAGATATTGCGACTTTCAAATTTACTGTGCTTTTCAATTTACAGGTCTTAACCTTACTCTTCAGTATTTTGTCTACTAAACTGTTTCTGAAAATTTTATTTTATTAATAAGTGAAAGCAAACATCACTTCTGAAATGGTGTTGAAAAGCAATCAACTGCATATGGTGCAACAAGATATAAGGAAAGATACATTATTTCAGGGAATAATAATCTGAAATTTTTTCTATGATCCCTAATTAGATTTGTAATGCATTCCTGGAATAAATCTATATGCATAAAAATTACATGGTATTATGGAAAAAGAAATTAATATATGTTATTTCTGTTTAATAGTCTGGTTTAGAAGTCTGTCAAAATCTCCTGCCTCCATAATATATAAGTTATATGCAAATGAATAGAACCAATTATATATAAAATAAGGAATATAAAAACTGTGATAATGAATTTTGGTCAAGGGATTGCCTTAGCAGCTCATAATTTGCAGAATCATCTGTGTTATCAAAACAATTCCTCTTACTTTCAGATGAACTTCTGTTTGTACTGTAAAAAAATTGTGGCTATTTTTGATTCACAAATGAAAAAGAAAATGAAAAGGAATTATCAAAATACTTGTGATGATGCATTTTGTTAAATTTAGATATGTTTATTCTGTAAATGTGTACAATTGTATTTTCTCACCCCCCACTCCCCTGCTGAAGTTCTTTTACAATGTTTTAATCAGGTTGTTGGCTTTGTTTTGAAAAAATACAAAATCTTTGTGGAAACAGACAGGGGCAGATTTCAGATTACAGAAACAGATGTTTGTTGATGCCCTTGTCCTGCAACCGTACTTATGGTTCAGGAAACCAAAGGACAACTACAAATAACTTAAGATTAAATAGTTTCATTATTTAAGAGTGGATGATAGCTTAGCCACCCAAAAGTAAGTGGCACTATAAGTACTGTGATGTTACTAATTTACACCCATCAAAGTTGTTAGCTCTGTAAGGAAAAGAAATTAACAGAAAATGTGTCAGAAATCAAAAAGAGAAAAGACCTGCCACATTCTTACTCATTAAATATCACTGTAAGTGACAGCCCATTTCAATAACGGCTTTTCAAAACTTGTGGTGTATTTAGGGTAATATAGGTTTTCATGAAAAATGACTTAAGTAACAATGATCTGGAACTTTGACTAAAGAATGCATATATTTTAGATGTTATTTGTGCTGCTTCAGAATCACATTATATAGAAGTAAACCTAGAATTCAGCTAGTCCAAAAATATCATTACAGGAATTAAATTGGTTTTAATGCTAAAATAAATGGGCTTTTACTTCATGTTTCACTCAGGACTCAATAGTGTATTACTTGGTATTACTTATGGCTGAAATGGTAGTTAGTGCATTCAAGGCACTTGAGAGCTTACTAAAAAACATAATACATGTTAAAGCTGTCTCTTTGACATAGAATCAGGTGTGAATGTTATAAAACCAGTTTTGGAAAGTTAAACTGCCTACAGAGTAATCAGTGCTATCAAAATGGAATTCTGTTCCATTACATTTACATTTCCCTGTTGAAATAGGAGCAAGCAGTTGCATTTGCAATGTATTAGGGTATTATCTTCTTAGCTGTAAAGCAAATTGCCGTGTTCCAAAAACACTTTACAAACATACACATCTCATAAAATGTCTGAATCTTTAATAGTACTACTAATAAAAACAATGCATCAAGTCTTAGAATATTTTGCATGAACAAAGGCAGTATTTTGAAATTCTAATCTCAAACTTGTAGTCATCACTATTTTCATCAAATCTGATCTGCTTGAATAATGCATACTTCAGTCCAGTAGAGAATTATATATGGAAATCTAAATTCTGTTTGGAAAGGTAATTTCTATCAAACGTGGCTACCAGAAAAGCTTTTTAAGTTTAAAACTTGCTTCATACTAGACATGGAGTTGGCTCCATAACAGCTTTAATCAGGTTCAAGAGATGTCCATGACAAACTCTTTTCTCATCTTGTGTTCAGGAAAAGTATTAACTTGTAAATTCAGTTGTATAATTCTCAAATTATTATGTTTCTGTGAAATTCCTTCCATTTAAATTATGTAGATGAAAAATATACCTATCATATTCATATATACATGGTATGTAATGATGGTTTGTAACACATGCTTGTTGCACAGCAGTTGCATAATTGAAATTATCATTAAACCAGCTACATTTTAAATGGTACAAAGCCTAAAATTGTTTATTTTAACTGTAGTGAAGATGCATTAAGTGAAAATGTTGGGCAGTACATGCAGTAAAAAGACAGAAATTTATGGTTCTGTAATCCAGATTAACAGTAATAGAGATTAAATTTCAAAATAAAAACTATATTTTGAATTTGTAGAGAGTTTGACTTACTAATTAATATCATAATAAAAATATGAAGAATGCATGTTCTAACATTTTGCATTTTAAAGTCAATGTTTACTTACAGTACTTCGTTATTATTCAGAAATACTAATTACCACCGCTATTTGCTGTGATAACTCTCCAGTTTTACAAGGTTTAGATATGATTACAAACACTAGCAGTTGTGTCTGATTTCTCAACCCCCCCTCCATGTCCACCCAGCATACAACAAATTCAGACACAGAGAAAGATATAAAAATCAACAACTGTAAATTAAATATAGGGATTAGAATTCAAATGGAATTACCACAAATTGATCCTTGTAAATAGGAAACATAATAAAGTTCAATATACTTTCTTCTGGTTCTTCAATGAAAAAAGGGTTACTTAAACATTTATTAAATGCAGAGTTTTATGAAGAGTCTGGATGACAAAGAAAGTTACTTTTATTAGAATGTGTTGATGCTTCTGAGATTGGGGATTAAAGAGATAAAGCATTTTTAATAAATATTCAGCACTCATCTGGGTCTAAGATCAATTTTTGAGAAGTATACACCTAGATAATAATTTTTTTTTTAATATTCATAGGAATGTTAGATGTGGTATTTTGGCCAGAAAATATCTTAAAAAATTTTCACTGAATGCAAGAGCAATTGTGCAAATGAAGGATTCATACCAGCTGAACAGAAACATTGAGGAATTTGGAAAAGAAAAAGAGAACCTTCAGCTCCAAGTAAAACATCTACAAAAACAAAGATTCACAACAATCAGAACATATTCTGTGTTCTGTTTGCTGAAGAATGGAAGGGGCAACTTCATTTTATCTAAAAAGTGTAAAAGTAGAAGGTAAAGGACCCCTTAGCTCTCTCTGTCAATAGTTGGTGGCTATGCTGTAGAGATGTCAGAAAACTACTGCTTCTACGAGAGGTTGATCTTCAAGGTTTCCTGTTCTGAATGATTATCTACTCAGACAAGGGAAGCTGGAGCAAATGCTGTGTGAGAAGAAACAAAGCAGACAATTGTTACCTTTTCTGAAAGGGAACAATAGCAGCTGTCAACGTAAATCAGGAATAGGAATAAGCCATACATTATTATAAGGGGAAATTCAGTAGAACCATCTGAATCAGGTAGGACACTTCCTCCACCATGACCTACAGACCCAGTAATATCCATGAAAGATCAGTGGTATTACAGGTTTAGGACTTTGTCAAATGAAATCTGACAGAAAAAGTTCTGCCCTCTTGGGCAGATTTTACTTCTAGGAACTTTGTAAAATCATAGAATCATTACGGTTGTAAAAGACCTCTAATATCATTGAGTCAAACATTAACCCGGCACTGTCACTGAAAAACCCATCCAAAATACTGCCTGTCACCTCTGCAATAGATAGAATACATCCTTCCTGCAGTCTGTCTTCCTGGTGCATCTTGACAGTGGAACCCCAGCTGTGAAGACAACATCTGGAAGCAGCATACAAGTTGCAGCAGACAACACTCTCCAGGTTACTTCTTTGAGGCCACAACAAATTCTGTTACCTTTTCCACCTACTGCCCCTAACATATGGTAATTTCCATGAGACTCAGAAATTACATGGCTGAACAGACCTTTGGTCTGATCAGATACAGCTGTTCATAATTTCATCAGCTATGGGCAATACACATGGGTGAATGAAAGTAAAATGTGATTCTTGAAGGTTGTTTGAGCTGTAAGTTGACACATTTATTTTGCATCTGCAATGGTTAAAAGGATGTGCATTGCCTGTAATTTTAGTTATAATATCTTAATTGCTTGTAGGAGTCCTTAGATAAGAAAGCCAAGCAACACAGGAAGATATGTGAGGCACCAAAATTTATCTGTAGAACTTCAAACTGTATGTTTTGATCTATTTATAATCCCATTAAGTTCAATTTACTCAAAACATGATCTAGATTCTGGAACTGAGGCTTGTAGCATGTAAAATTACTTCTGTATTAGACTAATTTTCTCATAATATTATAGATGTGTTATAAACATATTAAAAATGTA